GACGACGACGACGACGGCGACGAAATAGGAGGGATAACGACGACCGCCGACGCCGACGACGAGGGAGGAAGGACGACCACGGCGACAACGACGACGACGCCAAGACGACGGCGACGACGAGGAAAGACAGAAGACGACGACGGCGACGACGACGACGACGAGGGAGGAGGGAGGACGGCGACGATGACGACGACGACGACGACGACGCAAGAGCGCGCACGCGCACGCTTTTCTTGAAAATCCGTGTTCCGAAACCATGGGTTTTTGTATGTTTTTGACACACGATTTGAAAGTGATTCCGAAACCTAGAAGGTGTTTGAAGGATGTCGGCATGCGCGCGCGACGACGCGCGCGTCTGCACTTCGCCCTATTTCTTGCAGGGAATTCTCGCGACGGCACGCGCGCAAGGGCGTTCAAAAGATGTCGACATGCGCGCGCGAAGCCAATTTTTTGAAACACCTATGGTTTTCTTGAGATTTCGCAAGAGCGCGCGTAAACTTTTTTAGGAACTCCGTGTTGCGAAACAATGTGTGTTTTGTATGTTTCTTGGAAGCTCGATTTCGAAATCCTTCCGACACCGAAGGTTTTTGAAGGATTTCGGCATGCGCGCGCGACGACGCGCGCGTCTGCACTTCGTCCCTTTTTTGCAAGGGCTTCTTGGCAACTTATGAATTTTGATAAACGAGTGGGCGCGCATAGTATTTTTTGCAGAGGGTGGCGGGGGGGAGTGAGCTTGGCTGGGGTAGTATGACTTCATACTTAGGAAGGACGATGAGGCATACTCATACGTACATTGCAATACGAAAAGGTGTATCGTTAATTCCGGGGGGGGGTAGAGTCTATTCTTCCTTTAGAAAGGAGAACCGATGTGGTGCAATCAATGCGGTGCAATCAATATGGTGCAACCTATGTTGTGCAATTAATTTCTGTTCGCAACGAATTGTCCACTCCATTGCTCGCGTAAACATCCCACCCACCCACCCGCAACTTGGTTTACACGACCTCTTAAGACCGTGACGGTGGGTACCAAATGGCACTTGGCAGCGACACCGACGCCGACGACGACAGCGACAACGACGACGACGCCGCCGACAACGACTACGACGACACCGACGACGTCTCCAACGACTTCGACGACGCCGACAATGACGACGACGACATCGACGACGACGAAGCCGACGCCGACGACGACGACGATGACAACGACGACGACGCCGACGACGACGACGCCGACGACGAAGACGCCGATGACGACGACGTCGCCAACGAACACGACGACGACAACGATGAGGGAGGAGGGAGGACGACAACGGTGGCAACGACGACAACGACGAGGGAGGAGGGAGGACGGCGACGACGCGAACGACGAAGGAGGGAGGACGGCGACGCCGACGACGACAACGATGAGGGAGGAGGGAGGACGACGACGACGACGATGGCGGCGACGAAATAGGAGGGATAACGACGAAACGCCGACGAAGACGACGAGGGAAGAAGGACGACCACGGCGACAACGACGACGGAAACGACGACGACGCCAAGACGACGACGACGACGACGACGACGAGGAAAGACCGAGGGCGACGACAGCGACGGCGACGACGACGACGAGGGACGAGGGAGAACGGCGACGACGACGACGACGCAAGAACGCGCGCACACGCTTTTGTTGAAAATCCGTTTTGCGGAATCCTGTGCTTTTATGTGTTTTTGGACATTCGATTTTGAAATCCTTCCGAAACCTGCGGTTTTTGAAAGATTTCGGCATGCGCGCGCGACGACGCGCGCGTGCGCTCTTCGTCCCATTTTATGCAGAGGATTTTCGCGTCGGCACGCGCGCAAGGGCGTTCGAAAGATTTCGACATGTGCACGCGAAGCCCGTTTGGTAAGATTTCTTGAAGATCTTGAAACACCTATGGTTTTCTTGAGATTTCGCAAGAGCGCGCGCGTATGTTTTTTTAGGAAACCAGTGTTGCGAAACCATGTGTCTTTTGTATGTTTCTTGGGAACTCGATTTTGAAATCCTTCCGAAACAAAAAGTTGTTGAAGGACATGGGCATGCGCGCGCGACGACGCGCGCGTCTGCACTTCGGTGCATTTTAGAAGGGGATTCTTGAACACTTACGACTCTTGGTAAACGAGAGTGCGCGCATAGTTACCTAACAGCGAAGACTGATAGGTTTCTAGTGGTCTCAAAAGAAAGCATCATGACTCCCCAAGGGGGTTCTGGGCAGATGCCGGACGGGTGCCGCGGGAATCCGGGGACTCCCGCGGGAATCCTGGGACTTTTTTTTAGCCAGCAGTAACGCACTTCGTGGCCTTCGAGTTCCCAGAACTCCATTCCTGGGCATGATTTTGAATGCCCGGAGCCAACTGTAGGCCACTTCGTGTCCTTCGAGTTCCCAGAACTCCATTCCTGAGCATGATTTTGAATGCCCGGAGCCAAGTGTAGGCCACTTCGTGTTCTTCGAGCTCCCAGAACTCCATTCCTGGGCATGATTTTGAATGCCCGGAGCCAAGTGTAGGCCACTTCGTGTTCTTCGAGTTCCCAGAACTCCATTCCTGGGCATGATTTTGAATGCCCGGAGCCAACTGTAAGCCACTTCGTAGTCTTCGAGTTCCCAGAACTCCATTGCTGGGCATGATTTTGAATGCCCGGAGCCAACTGTAGGCCACTTCGTGTTCTTCGAGTTCCCAGAACTCCATTCCCGGGCAACATTTTGAATGCTGAGGCAGGCTGATGCTGAGGCTGAGGCAGGCTGAGGCTGAGGCAGGCTGAGGCTGAGGCCGAGGCTGAAGGCAGACTGAGGCTGAGGCTGAAGCAGGCTGAGGCTGAGGCTGAGGCTGAGGCTGAGGCTGAGGCAGGCTGATGCTGAGGCAGGCTGAGGCTGAGGCTGAGGCTGATGCAGGCTGAGGCTGAGGCAGGCTGAGGCTGAGGCCGAGGCTGAAGGCAGAGGCTGAGGCTGAGGCAGGCTGAGGCTGAGGCAGGCTGAGGCTGAGGCTGAGGCTGATGCAGGCTGAGGCTGAGGCAGGCTGAGGCTGAGGCCGAGGCTGAAGGCAGACTGAGGCTGAGGCTGAAGCAGGCTGAGGCTGAGGCTGAGGCAGGCTGAGGCTGAGGCTGAGGCAGGCTGATGCTGAGGCAGGCTGAGGCTGAGGCTGAGGCTGATGCAGGCTGAGGCTGAGGCAGGCTGAGGCTGAGGCCGAGGCTGAAGGCAGACTGAGGCTGAGGCTGAAGCAGGCTGAGGCTGAGGCTGAGGCAGGCTGAGGCTGAGGCTGAGGCAGGCTGATGCTGAGGCAGGCTGAGGCTGAGGCTGAGGCTGATGCAGGCTGAGGCTGAGGCAGGCTGAGGCTGAGGCTGAGGCTGAGGCGAGGCTGAGGCTGAGGCTGAGGCTGAGGCTGAGGCTGAGGCTGAGGCTGAGGCTGAGGCTGAGGCTGAGGCTGAGGCTGAGGCTGAGGCTGAGGCAGGCTGAGGCTGCTGAGGCAGGCTGAGGCTGAGGCTGAGGCTGAGGCTGCAGGCTGAGGCTGAGGCAGGCTGAGGCTGAGGCCGAGGCTGAAGGCAGACTGAGGCTGAGGCTGAAGCAGGCTGAGGCTGAGGCTGAGGCAGGCTGAGGCTGAGGCTGGCAGGCTGAGGCTGAGGCAGGCTGAGGCTGAGGCTGAGGCTGATGCAGGCTGAGGCTGAGGCAGGCTGAGGCTGAGGCCGAGGCTGAAGGCAGACTGAGGCTGAGGCTGAAGCAGGCTGAGGCTGAGGCTGAGGCTGAGGCTGAGGCTGAGGCTGAGGGCTGAGGCTGATGCAGGCTGAGGCTGAGGCAGCCTGAGGCTGAGGCCGAGGCCGACGGCAGACTGAGGCTGAGGCTGAAGCAGGCTGAGGCTGAGGCTGAGGCAGGCTGAGGCAGGCTGAGGCAGGCTGAGGCTGAGGCTGAGGCTGAGGCTGATGCAGGGTGAGGCTGAGGCAGGCTGAGGCTGAGGCTGAAGCAGGCTTTGGCTGAGGCTGAGGCAGGCTGAGGCTGAGGCCGTGACTGCGACTGCCGTTGCCACTGCGACTGTCATCGCGAATGCGACTGCGACTGCGAGAACATCAGAATTCTACAACTGGATTCTCATCTGAATCTTAAGGGGAATGCTTCCAGATATGCTCCTACACATCGCTGTTAAATTGCTTTGCCGGGATGATGTATTTCTGCAGAAGATGGCGGGGGGGAGCGATACCGGTTTGGCTGAGATGGTATGAATTCATATTTGGGATGGACGATGGGGCAGAATCATATGTAAATTGCAATACGAAGAAATGACCCGAAAATCTATTCTCTTTTTAGACAGGAAAATCTAGGCGGCGACGTGGCGGCGACGGAGGCCACATATCCGCCACACTGCAAGATAGGCCCAGACGACGGACGAGGCGGCGACGGGGTTGCGACGGCGGCCACATAGCTGCAAGACCGACCTTCAAACGCATATGACGGGCGGCGACGAGGCGGCGATAAGGCGGCGACGGTGGCCACTCAACCGTCAGACCGACCTTTAGTCCGGGCTCCTATAGCAACCATGAGAACCTCCAAATGCAAGCAATGTTTGGAGAATCGACGCAACAGGAACTGACAAGGAACCCGTGTGAAATGATTGCACATGCATCCTCCTCCTTCTCCTCCTCCTACTCCTTCTCTCCCTCTCTTGTGAACTTTCTTTTTTTTGTGCTTATTTTCCTCTCTCTCTCTCTCTCTTTCTCTGTCCCTTTTCTTCTCCCTTTCTATCGACATATCACATTGTCCTTCGCTGTCTTTGTATACGCCCAAACGCTGAGTGGCGCAGCCCTGCAACCAAGCTCCAACCGCTTCTCGTCCTCTCCCTCGCTCCCCAACTCCCGCCTACTCCGCGTTCTCCTTCTCCCCCTCATCCAGTCCTCCCTCATTCGCTCCTTCTCCCTCACTCGCTCCTCCTCCTCTATCTCTTATAAAGCTACTGCGAGGGCCGCGCCTCTGACCAGCGCCCAGCTGAGGAGTCGCCTGGGGAGCTGCAAGGAGCTCTCCATCTCTTTTTGCGACTACTCAGTTAACTCGATCGACCATTTCAACTCAATCTGCTCTCTCTCTCTCTCTTTATATGTTTTTTTTCGCTCTCTTTCTCTCTCTCTTTCTCTCTCTCTCTCTCTCTCTCTTCTGTTGTAGATGCTCTCTGTCCTCTCTGCCCAACTCTGTTCTCGAAGCTCTGAAGTGTACCCTCTCCCCTGTGGTCGAATCCTTCATTCTGACCGTGGTCGCAAAGACATAACAAAGAACGCAAGAAGCCCGGCCGGCAAACCACGACTCGGGACACCAAGACACCCCACCGCTCACCCAAATCGACCAAATATTCGGATTCATGACCCCGGGAACCTGGCCACCCACCGAAATCTGCTCGCAATCCAAAAAAGGGAGCCTAGGGCCCGGGCCGCTTACCGAAATCGGTCCGCCATTCTCCGCTAGGACCCCTTCTGTGCAAGCACAGATAGGGGAAAATCGCTGTCATGCGTCTTCGCAAAGTGTCTCGACCTTTCGGGTCACATCGAACGCGCGTTTTGCGCCACATCTCGAAACCGTTCCCCTTCTCAAGTTTCCTGAACACCTTTGCCATTTCACCCTTGACAAGATCGAACAACCAATCACTATGCGAGATTCGTGGCATGTTGTTCCACTGGCGCGGCCGTTGCTGAAAGCTTAATCAAATGAAGTCTGCACCTCGCTCTCTATGACTGTTCTTGCATACCACCGTTGCCCACCACTCCTACTAAGTTCTTGCATTGGTATGCCCAATCTTGCGAAACAGCATCTCTGACCGAAAACGTATTACCTTTCTTTCTGCAAGAGGGAAGGGTACATCTCACTCCTTGTGCTATCGGTGTTTTCTTCCAGGGCTGTTCCTAAAACTATTATCAATGTCTATGAAGCTCCGGAATGCTAAACCACAGCCCCGCTGTCATGTAAGACATATGTATCCTGATTTCTCGGATGAGCTCGGTCCAAGCTGGCTGCGAACCAGACAAGGTGGGCGATGTGAGACGAAATCCTTCCCAACAGGAGGAGGAGGATGAGGATGAGGATGAGGATGAGGATTCTGATGGTGATGATGCTGATCATGCTGATGATTCTGATGATGCTGAGGAAGCGGAGGAGGAGGAAGAGGAGGAGGAGGAGGAGGAGGAGGAAGGGGGAGGAGGAGGAGGAAGGGGGAGGAGGAGGAGGAGGAGGAGGAGGAGGAGGAGGAGGAGGAGGAGCAAGAGTAAGAGGATGAGGGGTAGGAGGGGGGAGGAGGATCAGGAGGGCCAGTCGGGGGAGGGGGAGGAGGGTCCCGCGGGGCTATCGGGCGTCAAGGCCCACTCTGCCACGACGCCGCGTCCAAGGGCGGCGGCGACAGGCGGCCGCGGCTGGCGTCCATTTCGCCTCTGCGGCGGTGCCGCCGCGCGCCCGGAGAACCGTGCGGGGCGATCGGGCGCCGCGGCCCCTCCCCCCTGCCACGACCCACGACGCAGAGTCCAAGGGAGGCGGCAGGGAAGCGGTGGCAGCGTCCTCTCCAAGACGACGGACGGGCTGCAGAAGTGCGGGTCCTCGTGTGGTCCCGCCGTGCCGCCCGACGGCCGCCGGCGCGCGGCAAGCGCGCTCGCTGGACCGCTGAAACCCACAGGCTGGGAAGCGCGGATAAATAATCGCTCGTCTTCGTGGGGTTGCGCCTTGAATGCCGCTCTGTGCTCCCCGCCGTCGCCGAACAGTTTCAGGTGGGCTGGAGGGAGATGGGAAGGAATCTGCAGCATGAGGGGAAGAGGGAGAGTAAGATGAGGAGTTGGAGACGGAGGAGGAATGAGAAGAGGAGAATAAGGGGGATGGGGAAAGAGGAGGGAGGAGGATAAGGATGATGGGGAGAAGAGGGAGGAGGAGGAGGAGGAGGAGGAGGAGGAGGAGGAGGAGGAGGACGAATTAGAGCACAGGTAGAGGTGGACGAAGCACCGTCACACGTAGGTGGACCAGGTGGTTGAAGTGGAGATGGAAAGGGGAGCCGGCCTCGTAGTCGTCCTCCTCCCTCCTGCTGCTCTTCTTCCTCTTCTTTGTCGTTGTCCTCCTTCTCCTCCTCCTCTCCTCCTCCCTCCACACCCTCCTCCTCGTTTCCTCCCTCGAGACCTCTATCTTTCCCTTCCCCATTTTCCACCACATTCTCCTCCTCCTCTTCCTCCTTTTCCTCCTGTTGTTTCTCTTCCTCGTCGTGTTCCTCCTCTTCCTCTTCCTCCTCCCAGTCCCCCCCAGTACTCTTCAATATTCCCCCCATTTCTCCTTCCTTTCCTACTCCCCCACCTCCTCGATTTTAGCATTCCTGCCATTTTCCTCCTCTTTGTGGGTCCGCCCCGTCTTCGGGGCTAAAACAACTCTTCACCCTAGCACCGACAATATCATTAATCGAGGGTCCCACTTCGATCAATACTCGCTCGTCGATCCTCAAGCTCAATACGTAGAACAACAAAATCATGGCGGCACTTCAACATTCAAATCGGCCCTCTCGGCGTCGGCGATTTGAAGCACAAGTTTTCTGGCCAAGCATGTCTACCCCCTCACTGAAGGACAGGACTGGGATTTCGCGCAAAATTGAAGGTGATCCAAGATCAATCAAAACTGGCCCTGCATCGCACACAATGGCGCCCAATATCGCTCGGCCGTTGGACGAGGCAACCGCGAACATGGATGTCCACGGATCTGGCGCGTGGGGCGCATTAGGTGCCCTGATTTGGCGACGGAGCGCGTCGATCATTGATTGGGCGGGCGGGACCTTTGCGGAAAGTGGTGCAGACAAGGGTTCCCAAAGCTCCGATGCAGCAGTGGAGGAAGGTCGGGCGTCCCCCATGCCGACGAGTTGGCGGGCTGCGCGCCGCCGTTGATTTCGAATGGCGCAGCGCACGCCGAGCTGCCTCGCAGTTGTCCAACCTTTTTTGTTGGAAATGCGTCAATGTATTTAATTGACAATGGGTTCCACGCCACGGAGCTCCTTGACATCTACTTCTGCCACTCGCTACTGGGCGAGCGTCAAGCGCAACCGCCGTGCAACTATAATGCCCCCCAAAAGCCGACGAATGACGCGTCAAACACCAACTCGTCTTTCCCTGGCGGCCGCCTTCCGAGCGGACCATGCCATGGACCCGTGGATATGTGAACCGGATCCAGAGGGGGGCGTCATCCATGGACTAACAAAACGGGGTGGGGCCCGTGCAACGCAATTCTTTTTAGTATGCCTCCAGCGGCGCACCGCGCAATCCACATTGCGTGAGTGTTACCACTTCCTGCGTGGAATGCACGGCAGTAGCTGCATGTAATGCAGAGAGACACGAAGTGCAAGTAGGGGGGCCCGTGCTATAAGAAAACACTATATATACGTATATACAGATTCAGATATAAATATAGGGGGCCAGGGCGCGCCCGTCGCCTGCGCGCCAGATGACTCAAGGGCTCTTGCGAGCCACGGCGGCGGCGCGCAGGGGAGGTGGGGCAGAGGCGCAGGAGGAGGAGAGGCTGAAGTATGCATGACAACCACAACTCTTCCCTGTATTGCAGCCGAAAAGCCGACTCAACCTCAGTCCACGAACTTCCTCTTATCGTTACCGTAGCCTTGGTGACCGTAGCCGTTCGGATACCGTAGACTTCGCCAGTGGTACCAAAGCGTCTGCGACATGCAGCCGCCGCAGCCGCGCGAAAACGCAGGCCTTGAGGAGGTCCCTAAGAGAGGTCCGCCCAGGGATGGTCGGATCCGGATTCGCCCGCAACCTTCCCCTATCTCGTCCAGGGAGCTCTTCGGCTCGGAGCCGCTGGGGTCGCACTGGTACCCAGTTCGTTCCAAGTAGCGGGATGCTGCGCTGAGCTCGAAGGTCCATTGAGGAACCCATCTCTCGCTCTTAGGGATCAGCTTGACAGAGAATGGCCCAAGCTCGTCCATCTTCAGGTCGGAGTCCTCGATTGGCTCGATCGGCTCGTCCTAGTAAGCGCGTGCACTCGGATATGTTGTAGGAATAACTCGCGCCGTAAGGTGCATCCTGACCGTGCGACTCCGTAGCTTGTACCATCCAGAGAAAGGCTCTTCCGCTGGATCCTGTCGTGGGTCTCCCTCGTCGTGCTCGTGTGGATCCAAAGCTTCGAGATGTAGGTGCTGCCTTCGTCCTGACACCACCTCTGGTGAATCTTCATGTCGGGCTGGCCCGCGCGCGTCTGCGATCCGCCCGCATCTCGAAAAGGCACGAGTGCAGGTTAATTTCGGGACCCACGTCATACGACATGTGCACCGTGTAGTGGGTGCAACTGGCACGGCGAGTTGTTCCTTCATAGTAAGCACCGGAGGTGTTGTCCGCCCTCGAACCGAGGTGTTGTCTCTCTCTCTCTCTCTTTATCTGTTTTTTTTCGCTCTCTTTCTCTCTCTCTCTCTCTTTCTCTCTCTCTCTCTCTCTCTTCTGTTGTAGATGCTCTCTGTCCTCTCTGCCCAACTCTGTTCTCTAACCTCTGAAGTGTACCCTCTCCCCTGTGGTCGAATCTTTCATTCTGACCGTGGTCGCAAAGACATAACAAAGAACGCAAGAAGCCCGGCCGGCAAACCACGACTCGGGACACCAAGACACCCCACCGCTCACCCAAATCGACCAAATATTCGGATTCATGACCCTGGGAACCTGGCCACCCACCGAAATCTGCTCGCAATCCAAAAAAGGGAGCCTAGGGCCCGGGCCGCTTACCGAAATCGGTCCGCCAGTCTCCGCTAGGACCCCTTCTGTGCAAGCACAGATAGGGGAAAATCGCTGTCATGCGTCTTCGCAAAGTGTCTCGACCTTTCGGGTCACATCGAACGCGCGTTTTGCGCCACATCTCGAAACCGTTCCCCTTCTCAAGTTTCCTGAACACCTTTGCCATTTCACCCTTGACAAGATCGAACAACCAATCACTATGCGAGATTCGTGGCATGTTGTTCCACTGGCGCGGCCGTTGCTGAAAGCTTAATCAAATGA